GGAAGACTAAGACACAAATACTTTATATCCTCTTTAAAATGTCATATTGGCACTTTACACCTTTCTAGAAAATAATTTAAGGAACAATATGAGGTAGATTTACAATTCAATATAAAAAACATGCTCTTACATATACTAGGTAATTTGCACAGGTTTGAGGAAATTTGATGTGTCCAGGATAGCTCAAAATCATCATTATTTACTTGATAAATAATAACTGAATTTGATGCACAAAATAGGTTTAGGGATACAGAAGAAAATGTCTAAATGTGACTTATAAATATCCAGCATACTGCTTGCAGTAATTTTGTACATTATCAATTGTAAGCATTTTATATAATAAAAGCTATTTATCTTTTAGCTTATAAAAACTCTACTTCAAAATTACATATTTTTAAAATTTTTTCCTATACTCAAGATAGATATTTATTGGTCTACCCAAATATGTTTTTCTGTAATCAGACTATTATATTTGATTTCATAGAGCAAATGTTTATTGTGTATCTCTGGCTTCTGCCTTAAATAATGCTAGACACTGGGGATAGAGTTTTGACCAAAACAGAAATGACCTCTGACATAATGAAATATAGAACCAGTTCAGATAAACTATAGAGAGTTTAAGGAAAAAAATAACTTTGATTTTTACTTTGATTTGGTCAGAATTTAAAATTAAAAGTTACAACAGAAGTTAATTGATCAATGTTGGTGGCAAATTCCATGTTACTTTTGTGTTTTAAGTTTGATTTAACAAATATGTGTTGATTAGCTATTGCTTCAGGTTTGATATAGATACAGAATTGAAAAATATTCCTTGCCTTCATAGAGTTTAGTCTAGCATTTCAGTTATAAATTGTGTGCTATATGTGTTAAATTCAATGTATGGGAGAGTAGTGTGGATTATAATTTACTTTACATACAAAAAGATTCATATTTTTTACTTGACTTTCATACATTAATCTAGTAGGAAATGTTTGATACACAAACCTGTTTAAGTGTTTGGCAGAATTTTTAAAAATTAAATATTTTTTGCATAGAATATCATATTTCATATATCTTACCATACTTAATTGTGACATTTATTAAAAAGAGTTCTGTTTTGTGAACTTACTGGGAGTATTTTTATATAATATAAAAAATTCTTAGCAGTTTTTTTCTACCGATTATTACAATGACCAAGATTCTATATGTGTTTCTCTGATATGTTTTCTCTGATATATTTCCTACAGTGGAAGTGAAATACAATAGATGGGATGACCCTGAGGTCATTTACTTATTCTTTAAGTCATTTCACTTTTCCAGGCTTTGTGCATCTTTATGTGAATGTCAGTTACATTTGTGCTTGTTTTCTACATTACTTAGAATTAGAAATCCTCTTTTTTGTCATGGTTTTAAAAATTTAATTATTAATCACTTAATTTCATTCTAATGGAAGGGAAGCTCTCTTGGCATAACACAGATCCAATAAGTCTTTAATAGAATTTATGACAACTCTGCTGTTCTTGTTTGTTGGTAAAGATAGATCTAAAGTATGACCAGACATTTTCCTGATATCTTCTTGGATAAATATCTTACCAAGCATTTCTCTTTTTCTAATCCTTGTCTTTCTTTCTAATCTAAAAAGGCAGCCAAGCCGTAATAGTCAAAAACATTAGGAAGCCCTTTTGTCCAGTAAATAATCTGTGTTTCTAACAACCTTCTTACAGGTCAAAATATTTCCCTAGAATTTTCTTAGTTCAGAAATAAATCTAACTGAATATTTCACCAAAAAAGCATATTAAATTGAAGTTTAAAATTTTGCATAGGAGCACCTGGGTGGCTCAGGCGAAGCATCTGACTCCTGGTTTCTGCTTACGTCATGACCTCAGGATCCTGAGATTGAGCCACATGTAGCTCTCTGCTGGGCATGAAGCCCATTTAGGATTTTCTCTCCCTCTCTCTCCGCCTTCCGTCCCACCCGCTTACCCCATGTGCACTCTCTCTCAAAAAAAAAAAAAAAAAAAGTATAAAGTTTGAAATCAATGTAAACTATACCAATGAATAAATACAATATTAACATTTCCTCACCTGTACTGAGGTAACCAAATTGATCAAAAGAAAATGTAAGATAAAGTATATGTTAAAACTCTCCTATAAATGTCAATAAAATGCACATTTTCTGATTATAGTGTTTCGACATTCACCAACAGAATACAATCTAAGCCAAAAATAAAGGAAAAGACTATTTTCAGGGAAAATAGACTCATACATGAATAGACTAAATGTGCCTTATAAATCCATCATTAAATACTAGAAGTTTATAAATCTTCCTGACCAGAATTGCTAGCAGATGCTGGGTTTTGAATTTAGGGTGTTATCCAAACTGATCATGATTGTAGTCTTAATTTGAAATTTTAACATGTAAGATTATACTTGAATTATTACTGCCTCTTTTCTAAATCCTTTTCCAAGTATAAACCAAGCTTTTGAACAGAATATTTCTGAGAAACAAATGTCAACATTGGTAGCAGATTAATATTGTTGAAGGGATTTGATGAGATTATTATTCAGTATAATATAATCTGATTCCATTTAAATATTTTTAGACAGGAAGTTAGAGATGGATACTGTGTTCCTTCAATATGAACTATTTGAATTATAATGTGAATCCTGAAAAATACACTCTTTCTACAATAGTTGAGCTATTATGTTTTCTCCTCACATTTTTTAACGTAGAACTTTTCCAAATGTAGACTGAAAAATAACCTTCATTTCCTGGATAGCAGTCAAAATCTCCTTTCTTGCCACCTAATGAAGAATTATTTCTAGAGCAGAAGAGCATCACCTAATGTCTCCTGAGAAAGCTATTAGTATGAGATCGTCACATTTCATAGATAGAAACTTTAATGCCAAGCATTAATGTAGATATCCTTTCTCACAGTCTTTCTTACATCTTATATCTCCCTCTGCTTTGATGAAGATTGGATGATTAGGTCATGAAAAATAATGAACTGGGTTTTAGAAGTAGAAAGATGATCTAATTTATTTTTGTTTCTTTTTTTTTTTCCTCACCTGAAAAAATGGAACCAATAGTCAGTGAACGGATTGATGATGAGAACAGGAGTGATTTTAAATGTAGAAAGCCCTGCGATGTCAAAATTTATCTGGTGCATTTTATACATACAACGCAATAAGGCAATTGAGATGTGCCCACCTATCTTACTTCCACAAATACTCCTTTTATGGTGTCACATGTTCCTTTCATTCTTTTGTCTCCCTCCTTGGTTTAAGGTGACTCTTAAAAGTTTAGCTAGGGATACTGCACAAGAGATTATTTTCTCAAGGCCACCATGGGAAATAGAGTAGTTGCCTTCCCATTATTCATGTTCCTCTTCTTTCTCACTAACAGTCCTGCTTGTTTAAGTTTTGTTCAAGCAGCAGTAAGTCCACCCAGCCTCTCTTGTAGTAGGAATGCTCATGGGACACCATTCTGGCCAATAAAATGCCTACATAATCCTTGGGGAATACATCTCTTCCCAAATAGAAAGTCAAAGCCTCAGTAGGAGGATGTCTCTTGCTTGCTCTTCTGTTTTCATCTTGCCTTGAATTCAGACAGACACTTTTAGATACATCAACCTTCTTGTGCCTGTAACAAATAAAACCAACACACAAATCAGATGTGGGTCCTGTGGACACCACTACCTCCTATAGGTTTCTTATGTGAGAAAAATCATCCTCTATCTATAGAAATTATTGTTAACTGTTTTTGTTACTTGTAACAGTGTATTATGGACTGAAATATAATTTCTCTTAAGTTGTTTTTATATTGGATAGAAGGGGAAGATGTGATGTGGTAGATATTGAGCAGGAAGATGCTATGTGTATTTCTAACCAATTTCTTCAAGTAGTAAGAATAGTATTTTCCAAAAAAAAAAAAAATAGTACTTTCAGAGGGAATATCTTTTTTTTTTTTTTCTGGATAACTTAAAACAATCTGCAAGAGAATTACATATACTATCAGCTGTTGTTCAGGGGGAACAAGTTAGCTGATCAAGGCCAGTGTGAAATAGAGAATCAAGTAAAAATTGGCTTTAGTTCATTTTATCCCATGGTCCTGCCATTGTTCCAATGAACCATAGGGTTTTATTATGTCTTTGTGTTGTTCTTAAAGAATAATAGGCAATTCTATTGATTCCATTTGGGAGGATCAAAGATCAAAGAACATTTCTTCATAATTGAAACATTAATTTTAGCTTTCATTTTGTTTTAATTGCTTCCTACTGACTCCAGTTGATGTCACATGGACTAATAATTTTTTTAAGAGAGATAAACAAGTTAAATGACCAATAAGAGGGAACTGGTTAAATAAATATTATTTAATTTATACTCTAGCATATTGTAGTTTCATTAGAAATAATGCAGAATAACATTTAATTATCATTAAATACTCACCACTTAATATTAAAACTAGCAGGTTATGAAATATTATATTCAATGTTATCCCAATTTCAGAAGAAAGCAAAAAGGAAAGAGACTGAAAACATCTATACCAAAATGTGAAGAGTGTCTCTCTGGGTATTTATATTATGAGTGGTTGTATTTCTTTATATTTTTCAATCTTTCCCAATTTCTGCAGTCAATTTATATGACTCAGTAAGTGATATTTTAAAAGATGTCTTGGCTATTAACAATGTAACTCTGATTTAACATTAAAATAGTTTAAGACTATAACCATGAGAGACTATGGACTCTGAGAAACAAACTGAGGGTTCTAGAGGGGAGGAGGGTAGGGGGATGGGTTAGCCTGGTGATGGGTATTAAAGAGGGCACGTTCTGCATGGAGCACTGGGTGTTATGCACAAACAATGAATCATGGAACACTACATCAAAAACTAATGATGTAATGTATGGTGATTAACATAACAATAAAATAAAATAAGTTTAAGAATAAATCATTTTTATTGACTACCTTTTCATCAACAAAAAGTTTGACAAGAAATCTCTGTTTGTTTGTTTTAATACAGAAATCCTTAATGGTGGAGTGTATGTAGATCAGAACAAATTTCTTTGTTACACAGACACAATTCACTGGCAAGATATTGTTCGGAATCCATGGCCTTCCAACTTGACTCTGGTATCAACAAATGGTAGCTCAGGATGTGAGTAACATTATCTTTTTTAATGTCTCAAAATGTTCTTTTGCTTCTTGTGAAAACAAACAGCTTAAGTTTATTATGCTATTAACAATATTTTGAATTTTGATTGCATCCATTGAAATGTTCAGTTATATATAACAGAACAATCTTTTGCGTCTAATTAACTCTCCTTTTGGAATGATAACTTCCCTTTTATAAATTCTCATTTTCTTAACATGACTTCTTTTGATAAATCTAAATATCTTACTATATTTCTAATGTCTAACTTTCCAATGTCTAAATGTTTAAACATGTGCCGCATTGTCCATAAACTTAAGGCTGGTGTCTGACTACTGCTTCAATTCTTTGTGACCTATGTACCACTGAGGAAAAATGTGGTAGGACAAAAATAAACCTTCCTGTTCACTATAATATTTTAAATAAAAAAAAAAAACTGATGAACATTTTAAAATCCCTAAGCCTCCATTTGCCCCTGAAACCTTCATGGTGATACTTTATGACAATCCCAAACACTATAAATAGAATGGAGAATTACAGATTTCATAGAAGAGATATATGTTATGTTCTGGTTTTAGTCATTAGTCTAATAACTACCCAATTTCTCATTCTTTAAGTGAGGATTGTTTCTATCACAGAGGATTTATCAGATTCAGAGTATTTAATATGATTAAATTATAAGCAAGTAATATTTGAACTATATCATTAAAATCTTAGCAAATTATTCTGCCCAGAACCTATTTCATTTTCATAAAGCAGGCTATGTGGTTCCCACATTTATTACTACTGACATTTGTATGAGAACAGAATCCTTATCAAGTGTTGACCTGGGTTTTATATTTCTCGTCCACTACTATATATTTCCCTCCTGAAATTATAACTATCTTCACATAGTTCAGTAATTATTTGCAATAGTACTGATTGTGTTAGGACATTGTTTTAGGAAATCAAACTCCAAGGGACAATATTAAATTTCATGATGGTCCTAATAATATAATGGGGAAATATGAATATATTTGTTCCAAACTGACAGCTGTGTTTTTAATAAATGGCTAAATTTTTTTAAAGTCGAGTAACACAATTTTCTTGTCACCTCTGAGCAGAAATTTGTATGAGATTTCGTCTTTACAGCATTCAAGTTGCCTACCTTGTAAAATTACACATGAATAAAAACTCGAATCTGTTCACACTAACAAGACAAATGATGTACTTCAGAAATGGCTTCCATTTTCAGTCTGCCCATACTATGGTACATTTTATATTTGGTGGGGGGTAATTATAATGGTTGCATAAGAGGAAAGACCTACTGACTTAGTTTATTAGAATGACCAGCCTATAATGCATGAATGAGATCAGGCAAGAATGAAGCCCAAGACAGAAGCCAAAGGGAAGCCTTACAGGATGTGGAACAGGAAAGGTCTGAGGCAGTTGCTGCACTTTCACAGATGGCATCTCTTTGTCCTATTATTTGTGGGCAATTTTGGATGGTTGTGCCTATAATTAGGCAACTGTAGCTGCATTTTTTTGCATGCAAATAATTGCAGGTGCAAAAATTATAAATGCAGAGTAGAGTCATAACAATTGGTCCTTTACAAATTAACCACCAATTGCTTACTGAAGTTTTATTCTTTACATACTAGTTCTATTTGCTGACACATTAAATATACTGCATGACACCATAGCTGAAAATAATGAATTGGCTGGTCTTTGAATATTGGTTTCACCCTGATTGAATTTTTTCCTCTACCTTCCCCCCATGGATGATGACAGGTATTCTCACAGTTTTAAATAGGTTCCATGCCCAGCATGAAGCCCGATGCGGGGCTCGAACTCATGACCCTGAGATCATACCTGAGCTGAGATCAAGAATCAAACCCTTAACCAACTGAGCCACTTAGGCACCCCTTCTCTCTTGGTTTTAAATGCAGCTTCTACACTGATGACTCTCAGAACTACAGTCACCCAATCAGTCACCCAAGTTAAAAATCTGGTGGGCATCATAGACTTCACCTTCTCCTTGGTTTGTGGCATTTATTTAATCATTAAATCATACTGAATTTGCCTTTTCTTGATTTTACATATTTCTTACTGCCATAGCCGTAGTTCAAGGCTTCATCCATTGTCTGAGTTACTGAAATAATCTGAATTCTTAATAGTTTTTGAGGCCACAAACCCTGTGCAGTCTGGTGAAACCAATAGCTTCCTTCTTATAATAGTGTAAAATTAATAAATAGGCACAAAATAAATATTTTATATCATAAATGCATAAAAATCAGTTCATAAAATAAATTTTAAAGGATTACAAGGAAAATAAATTATACTGAAATACATTTATCAACATTCTTAAAAATAATGTGATATAGTAATATGCTTCATTAGGAGGTTAAATTAAAAAAAAAATTCTGATAGTAGGATTAACAGGCAATGTAGTTTTGTAGCAGTGATAGACCTAAATATTATTTTAAAAAGGACAGTCACTTTAATAAATGGTGTTGGGAAAATTACATTTTCACATGTACAAGATTGAACTTAGACTTTTACCTTACCCTATATGTAAGAAATTAATTCAAAATGAATTAAAGACCTAAACATAAAACCATAATCTATAAAATTCCTAGAAGAAAACATGGAGGAAAAGCTTCATGACATTGGATTTGGCAATAATTCTTGGAGCTGCCACCAAAAGCAAAGACAGCAAAGGCAAAAAATAGAAAAATGGGGCTACATCAAACTTAAAAACTTCTGTGCATCAAAGGACATGATCAAGAAAGTGAAAAGGCAACTTAGAGAATGGGAGAAAAATTTACAAAATTATATATCTCATAAGGGGTTAATATCCCGACTATATAAAGTACTTTTACAACTAAGCAACAACAAACAACCTAATTCAGAAATGGACATGGATTTCAAATGGCATTTCTTGAAAGATGATATACAAATGGGCAACAACCATATGAAAAGATGAAATCCAAATCCAAGCCATGAGACATGACCTTACACCCGTTAGAATGACTATTATCAGAATAATAGAAAATGACAAATGTTGGTGAAGATGTGAAGTATTTGAAACCTCTGTGCACTGTTGTGAGATTTTACTGTTGTAAAATAGCTATGGAAAATAGTATGGTGGTTCCTCAAAAATTAAAAATAGAACTACCATATTATCCACCAACTCCACTTGATGGTATATGTCCAAAAGAATTGAAAGCAGAGTCTCAAAGCATTATTTGCACACCTATATTTATGGTAGCATTATTTATAATAGCCAAGAAGGGGAAGCATCCCAAATGTTCACTGATGAAGGAATGCATGAACAAAATGTGGTATATATACAATGGTACATTATTCAGCCTTAAAAAAAGGAAGGAAATTATGATATGTTACAACATGGTTGACATTTGCTAAGTAAAGTAAGCCAGTCACAAAAAGACTGTATGTCTACTTATATGAGGTATCTAGAGTAGTCAAATTCATAGAAACCAAAAGAAGAATGGTGGTTACCAGAGCCTGAGAGAATTGGGAAATGAGGAATTTCTGTATAATGAGTATAAGAGTTTCAGTTTTGCAAGATGAAAAAGCTTTGTAGATCTATTCCACAACAATATAAACATACTTAACACTACTAAGCTATATGCTTTTTTTTTTAAAGATTTTATTTACTTATTTGACAGAGAGAGACAGCGAGAGAGGGAACACAAGCCGAGGGAGTGGGAGAGGGAGAAGCAGGCTTCCCGCTGAGCAGGGAGCCTGATGCGGGGCTCAATCCCAGGACCCTCGGATCATGACCTGAGCCGAAGGCAGACGCTTAACAACTGAGCCACCCAGGCGCCCCTAAACTATACGCTTAAAAATAGTTATGACAGGGGCACCTGAGTGGCTCAGTCAGTTAAGCATCCCACTCTTGGGTTTTGGCTCAATTCATGATCTGATGGGTCCTGGGATTGAGCCCCAAGTTGAATCTGCTTGAAGATTTTCTTCCTCTGCCCCTCTCCCCACTCTCTCTCTCTCTCTCTCTCAAATAAATAGGTAAATAAATCTTTTTAAAAAAGATTATGACAGTAGATTTTATGTTGTATGTTTTTACTGCAAGAAGAAAGAAAGAAAGAAAGAAAGAAAGAAAGAAAGAAAGAAAGAAAG